TTCCTGATCTTTCGTTTTCAAGCCATTTTCTCTCGAATTTCTCTGAGCAGTGCGCTCCTACCACCTCTATTTTAGCATCAACAGGTAACGACTGTTTCGTTTTGCCATCCGCATTGAAACAATTCCACGGCAAATATTGACGGACTCACCTGAACAAATGCCATGTTTTGGAGCAAGTAGTACTTACAGGTACCAGATTTGCTTGATTAACAGAATCGATTTACAGTTTTTCCGCAATTTTCAAGTGCTTCCTCGACCCTGGGTACTGTTCATTCTTTCTATCAATGCTGAAAAATTAACGAGCTTCTGAGAAATTTCTCAGAAGCTTTTAAGAGTTCCTTTGTGCGCTAAAAATTCACCACCATACCAAGCAGTAGAAATGACAAACGACTCGTTCATACAGATGAACCCAGACTGTTGTTTGCCACAAAGTAAGTGGGTTTGATCAGACGTTCCCAACGAAAGAAGGCAAATTTCGGGAATAGCAGCCACAGGGAGAGTGGCTTCTCCCTGAACGTTTCCAGAATTGTTTGCGTACACTTTCAAGCCATCGAGTTCTCTGCTTACCGGGTGTATCAGTTGAACAGCACTGTGTACCTAACCAGCAGCGCCATGTGTTCACAATAGTCTCAGTCAAATGACGACAGTGGCGTGAAACTAGTTTTACCCTAATTCGTCCAACTTCACTTACTTTATTCCACCCTCTTATTGGTTACTGTTTATTCACGATTTACTCCATTTACCCTTCATCTTTTCAAACAGAGAAGTATCTTTTAGGGAATCAAATCTACCAAAAAGTGCTCGGGTCGCTTGTTGCTCTCTCTTATCGTTCATACCGACTGATATCTGCCGACAGGTCGCCGTTCCTACTAGACCAAATATTGCTGCCCATCTCGCCCACAGATGCCATATTTTCCTTTCTGGATTTGGGTCGCCATTATTGCTACGGTAGCCGATGCCGGGAAGATTCTAGTCTACAGTCCATCGATCAGTTATAGTCATCTGATCTCGAATGGCAGAATTGCCGATGCTTTAGTGAAAGCTGGACACGATGTGGTGAGTTGCGGTGAATCCACAGCAAAGATTTTTCCATATTTTCTTAACCTCTGCAATTTGTTTACATGCATGTTTTTTTCAACTTTTGTACACATATGGTGATAATTTTGTGAAGTATGTAGTCAAATATTAATGTCTTAAGTGAACTGAATGAAGGTAGAATGCGCGGCGCATCCGAGAAAGAATTGGTCAACGTTGCGCGCTTTATTCATGCTGCCGAGCTGGTTTTTGGGCAGAATCTTATGGGCTGCATAGTCTGTGACCGCAGCGTTTCACCGTTAATACTGATAAGGTTTGGAATGATACAGGGTTCACAAAGAACTCTGCCTCTAACAATTAGAGACCTCAAATAATCAAAGGGTAAAGTGCCCGACATTGATACTTTCCTTGGATTAGAATATATTTGGGGCGTGCTGAACTTTTGCGATTAACCTGCCTACAGAGTCAGCTGTCGCATAATTTATATTTCGATGATTTTTATGGGAAAATTGGTTGTTATGGGTAGATGTCGGTCTCGATCAAAAAAACATACTATGAGAGGAGTACCCGACAGAAGGCCCGTCTTCGAAACAAGGATAGTAGTTAGGCAGGTCACAGCGCGTAGTGTAGTAGTTGTGTCAGATGAAGACTGTCCACATGGTAATCCAACATCACACGCGCTGCGAACTGGTTTACTTCTTACCCGCGATGAACCTCCTGTCGGTACCCAGAAGAGGTGGCTTTCTACACCATGCGGAAAGGCTTCAAAATTCTGAACGAGGCACTGAACTCTTAAATGTACACTCCTTCATTGATGCTGCTCTTACAATGATGCGTAGGCTTTCCTATCCTCATACAGTTTCCGAGTCCATTTTTCTGTTTTTAGGGATTCAGCCTGGAACAGAATTTGATTGTCTACGGGACCGCCACCCGTTGATTGCATATCGCCCATTTTGGCGAGTTAGGTTTTTTTTGAGAATAACTTAGCGCACATGAGACAGCTAAAAGATTCCTTTCTGATTGCTTGGCTGTTTGAAATGCTAAGTGTTGAATTTTCTCTCAAGTACGTGATTGGGCCTGGTTTAAGAACCATCCCACTCTCTGAATTTTCTTCAGCTCACCACCAAGCCGATGATCAATTTTCACCTTTCCAGTTTACGGAGTATGATCTGTAACTAGCCTAAACATTTTCTTTCTTCTGCCGAACATTCGATGAAGACCTCGTCAGTCGTAGGCGGGAAATCGCTCCGCTCACGTGCGTTTCGTGCATCCTAGCCAACGCGCCCCTCTTCTCGAATGTTACCATAGCATCTCCAGCGATTGCTCAGTAAAGACGAATTCTTTGAATATAGACGAAAGAACGAACATATCATTTACGTGGTGATACAATGGCAATAGGGCTCAATATGGAGTCCAATGAACATAGTGTGGACTCGTATAATGATCAACTTTCCACGCTGTCAGTGACCTGCTGTCACTCCCACCCAAGACTGAGCACACTCACCTGCTAACTGTATATCCGCTCCACAATGGGAGAGTGTTTCGGGCTGCTACTGCGCCCGAGCCTTTGTGCCTGCAAGTGTAAGAGTTTACAGTAGGTTCCATCAGATCCAGGTAATTTTGTTTTAGTTCCTTTACTTTTGAAACAACCCTAACAACTAAATTGTTGCAGTATGCGGCTTCCAGATGCAAGCAATGTATAGCCAAGTGACAAACTTGACTATAAAAATAGAACTTCTTTCTCAAGGATTCTATAGGCAGAACAGGCTATTATAAATAGCACTAAATGGCACGTTCCTCGGGGAGGCAAGAGATTGGGCAAAATAACATTATGAAGGAATTACAAAACAAAGTTGTGCAGGCGGATTTTGTGTCGAGGTCTGCTATAATGTGAAGGAAATTCTGCTCTCCTGGCTGCGAATGAAGTGAAGGTAAGAATTTGCGACCTTTGTATACAGCTTATCCACCGCAGGGATTAAATTCATCTTAACGTGTTTTCCTAGTGGTAAGATGCGTATGGGAGGACACTACTGTTCGGGGTACGTAAATTTCAGTACAAGAGTTACTTCGAAAAAATCGTAGTTCAAGGAAAGGGTCGGATAATACTTTACCCCTTTTCTTATTTACCAAAGTACAACACTCGGTAAAGTAATCTTTCCCCTTTTAGTCATGTTCATGTCGGAAGTACCTCTTTATCATCAGAGTCATGGAAGAAATTAGGTAAGATTGCGATTGTCGATGAACAATTCATATGGTGACTTTTGTATTTCCTATAGTTTTATCTATTGACATATCCTGAGTTAAGGAAGGGTGAGGTAAATGGGTATGATTCCTTTTACGTATTCACTGGTACAGGAATAATACACACCAGTGCTTATGGATCCGCTGAAACAAACGAAATATTCTAAATTATTGGCATTAGTTGGGGCCCCTATTTTTTTACAAGTTTTCTCCTTGTTAGTCAAATGGAAGATGCGATTTCTTTCAAAAGTGTCATTGCGATTTAGTGTAAAACAGGACGGTCCGCGACCTAATCCATAAATACGAAAGAAAATTTACAACGATTTTGATCTTCTGAACTCTGCGGGTTTTGCTGACAGTGATCAGAGTACGCATTACGTTATATGTCGTATAACTTCGAGGTTTTCTGCAAGCAGTTTATACTTATCGATTCAATATATCGACCCCTTTCATCACGTCTATAGTTCGAGTTCCGGAATGGGTAGACGCAGCGAAGTAGTATAGCAAATTAGTGATGAATATTCGCTAGTCTAACCACAGAGTTGTAGCCAGTATTGGATCAAAGTAAGCGGCAATCGCATGAGTTCTTATTGCAGATTGCTCATGACCGATGCGTCTCAGCCAGAGATTCGCAGTTATCTTTCTAATTAAGCCTTCGCGTCAGTATGAGGAAATACGTGAACGCAGCGGGTTACAATAAACTTAAAAAGGAGTTTGGCATTGTGACGTGGGAATGTAGTGTCACCAGGAGTAAAAAGCAGAAAAATCCGTCAAGAAGACGCAAAACGGGACCCTTTTTTTGGCCGTTGGTTTTCACTCATGAACAGGTAACAGCTAAGAAAGTGGACGTATGACGAGTTCACCGCAACGCGTTTGATGGCACCATGCCAAACTACGCTTTAATCGAGATGCTCCATTTGCGCCGCTGCTGGCAGCTCGTCCAAATCAACAAGTAAACTAGTGGGCGGATCGCTTTTGGGGGCGGAGCGCTTTCGAAGTCCTGCTCAGCAACCAGCGCACCTTTCGTTGTGAAAGCGCCACATCTCGCTTCCTGGCAGCCAAGTAACTGATTCGTGTGGTGCACATGCTTCCCCTATGCTTCTTTCAAGTGCTTGTGCTACGCGCATCCTAGTTTATGTGGTTTCTGTCGGTTTCAGACGAAATAGTGGTCTAAAGCTGCGGTATGGTTTCTTTTCCAGTACTACATGCACTTTATTCTCTCGCAGGGACCCTGTTGTAGATGGTACGAACCACGTTACTACTGCGGTCCTGTGTTGCCCCTGCGTTGATGATCCTTCTTCTACCACCGGGTTGAATTCGACCCCATCGTCACTCATTCCGCGACGTTTTTCACCCTGACCCACCTTTCAGTGGGAGCGGCTACGTAGCAAAAATGGTTTACGGATGAACTGTGATAAAATAAGGGATTTACGTGTACACTTCTTGAGAAGTAACAATTTTCAAAGGAAGTGGTCTTCCTTCGATAATTCTCCTTGCTTTTCTTGATTTTTTTTCTTTGTGAACAAGCTTCCCAGTGCCTCTTATTTCGTATTTAAACACTGTCGAACCCAGTTTTTGACTGTTTTAGAATGCGCCTCAGAAGCACAACTCGCCATCAAATTTAAGGCTATTTTACTAGGAAGTGAAACAAAAGATGCCGAGACTACCGTCAGCGAAGAAAAATGCAAAGAAAACCAAAAAACATGGAATAGAGGGAATTCCTTTCCTGTAGCCGTTGCACGACGAGTAGATGCATCGTCTCATCGGCCCCAGCAAGAGAAGAAGGAAAATGCGAGATAGTGTCGTCCAAGAGGGCGCATAGACATTGCCTGTATTGAACGAGTAAAAGTAGCAGCTGTGGTCTAGGAAAGGAGTAGTTCTTTCATCGCAGAGTTTCCATTCGCTAGTGTGGCAACATTTTCGTGCTTACAGACCCTGAAACCTGTCACAGAAGCAATTTTCAATGA